AGCAGTCAAATGACTCGACCTTCCATTCCAAAAATATAGCAATGTCCGATTACTCATGGTCCGCTAGAGCACTTTGGTAGATGGACAGACAGATGTAGGCATCGGGTCGTTTGAAGATCCAGCTGAATTCCAACGTACTAGGCCCAGTGCGCTGGGCATTAATGGGTGTTAAAGTTTGCTAGCCGTAGGAGCCGGTTCATCCAAGAAATCGTTGACCGTTCTCGCGAATTGCGTCGCGTACTGGTATAGGAAAGCATGTCCGGAATCCGGGTAAAGATGGAGCTGCGCACCCTCGTCCTTGAGCATATTCCACATCAAGATGCTGTTTTCTGTTGGTAATAAGAGATCATTACTGCCTGCATTATTCGTCAGTCGGAACCGGGGTTGTCGGGGGGTGCATGTGCATGCAAAAACTATACCGTTTGCAATCAACACGGGTTGTCGAATCTGGCGAAATCGGTCATAAGACCCTTCAGATGCCTGCTTGGGATCCATGAACTTGGCAAAGGCGACAGCCTGTCGATGTGCAGCCTCGGCGGGGACTTGATCGATTCGGTCTGGGCGCGAACTCACCATCCGGTTCCAAGACGCTAATCCTGCAGCTTGGCTAGCTTTTGAGGATGTGAAGAAGCTGGACAGGAAGGCATCCTTGTGTTCACTCTCGGTTTGCGCTGCTTTGATTTGGTTGAACGGCCCGAGCGGCGCCCTCACAACACCATCCCCAGAGCTGGGAGTTGTACCGCAAAGGACAATGCGTCGAATTAAGCCAGCTGGAGCGTTGAGGGCGACAAGCTGAGCAACACATCCGCCCATTGAATACCCCAGAATATCAACTTGGCGCAGGTGTAGCGCCAAGAAGACGTCAATGTAGTGCTGCGCCCACGCCGGCAGTGATTTGGGAACCTCGCCGCTCGATCTGCCGACACCAACGTTCTCAACAAGAAGAACCCGACGGGTCGCTGCAAAACCGTTGATAAGTTTGGGATCCCAATGATCCATTGTTCCCCTACAATAGCACCGTTAGTGCCATGTTGGTCTTGCTCCACAGTCATACATTCTCGTGTTGTGTCTTGGAGGGAGGTCAGCAAATACCGGAAACCATGTAGCAGTGCTAGAGTGACGCCCTGGCCGGCGTTGCCAAAAAGCCTATAGGCAAATGTTTGATCTCCCACGGTGATGCGTTGATCTAGGGCTGTTTCGTATGTCGCCATATTGGCAAGTTAATCTCTAGCCTGCTTTGTTTCTTTTGGATAAGGAAAGAGGCGGGCGGGCAAGATGGAAGGCACGTTTGTCGCAGGCAGAAGCACTGACTCTTAGACAGTGGGCAGGTACAGGTATCCGGTGTACTGGAGGTGTTTTGAGATGACGAGCTCGATGCCAACAATTGGGGTCCTCTGGAAGTGCAGTAAGAGAAGGGGCATCAGAAGATGAAAGAAGTAAGTCCAATACAGTCGCAGCAGGAGAATTGGAATAGAATTGAGGCATTCAATGCACGCAAAGTTGCGGTGATGAGGGGTTCAGTGCTTCTCTTCTAGCTGATCTACCTCGGCCTAATGCGCCTGCCAAGTGCAGCTGGCGTAGTGGGTAGAGCCGCCGCATGGGCAATTAATCCTTGCAATGGCTACCGCCTCAACATCAATCTCAAACGACACCTATCCATCCGCATTGGCTGCCGTCACGGCTATGACCGCATGCTATCTAGACACACACGTATACGATGCTGTCGCCGACCGATGATGACGAGAGCGAGACCCCTTTCCCGACGCTAGACCACCAGCCAACCTTCAGCAGCCTCCTGTCCCCTGACGATGCCTTCGTGCCCCCTCTATCGCGTGGCTACGGCGGCGACAGCGCAGCGGAATCGACGCACTCACGTCTGAGGCGCGTCAATGATCGAGGCGGCAGTCGCAGGCGGAAGCGGGCTTGGAAGAAGCTCATGTGGGTGAAGCAGTCATGTCCGTCCTCCGAGAAGACCAGGCTTGTGGAAGAGAGCGCTGAGGCTAATCAAATGGACCTCTAGATCCGGACAACTACACCGACCAGGCGACATTTCTCGAGAACCTACAACGAAATCCCCGACTCAAACCCTACGACTTCTGGCCCCTGGTGGCAGACTCCACAGTGATTCTACAGCATGTCTGCTCTGTCATCATATTTGTCGTCTGCTTCGCCTGCATCCATCGCGAGCGAGTCTCTCCCGTCTCTGTCGTTAGCTGGAGCAGCGCCGGGACATTTGTGGGATGGCTTATGTGGGAGCGATGGGTGACTGAAGAGGACCAGGTCGAAGAGCTTAACACGAGTGTCTCGACATTGGTTGGGAGGAGCGGCAGCCTCAGCAGACGCCGTACCAGAGCTGCGAGCATACGTCGCCCGACACCGCTCCGGACAGAAGCGAGCCTGTCGGTTGTCGCTCCCTCGGCGCCGCCATCGAGGCCTCCATCACACGAAGGATCTGCCACCAGCTCAGCGACGAATCTAATTGCAGGTTCCAAGCCCCCTCAGCTGTCCCTAAGATCGTCCACGACAGCCCCATCCCTCGTCTCTAGGCCTAGCCACGAGAGTTTCAAGACAGAGACCCCTCCATTTATCATCAAGGATGTAAACCGGACGCACGAACGCTTGGGCACCATCAAATCAGCTATTCTGATCTATTGCACCCTCCTTGGGCTCAGCCCTATCCTCAAATCACTCACCCAGTCCACCTCTCTCGATAGCATATGGGCCATGTCTTTCTGGCTCCTATTCGTCAACATATTCTCTTTCGATTATTCGGGCGGGGTGAGCACCAAATTTCCAGCCTCGTTATCTACCAATGCCGCCTTGATGGCATCTACTGTCCTGGCGAGCCGTCTTCCAGATACAAGGCAGGTGTTTAGCCTGACCTTGTTCAGCATCGAAGTCTTCGGCCTTTTCCCCGTCTTTCGACGTCACGTTAAGCATCGGAGCTTTCAACATCATATCTGTTTAACCGTCGTCCTCGTTCTTGGTGCTGGCCTGGGCGTTGGGCTAGTGTCGGGGAAGTTGCCAAAGGATCAACCTTGGCCGTGGAAGCGCGGCATCGTAGGGATGATTGTTAGCATAATCATCGCTACTCTGGCCACTGGAGGCTGTAGTTGGTGGTTAATTGGGTTGCAGAAGTACAAGAATGAGATTCGGGGTCCTTGGGACCCTGCCCGACCCATCATTATGAGCAGGCAACAATGGGACGATAGAGTGTAGTAGCGGTACCGTAGCATACATAATAGTAATCAGGAAAGGGACGCGGAGCAGGTTTCTCATCACGTCACTATTTCTTGACTATCCTCCAAGCAATTAGCCGAGATTCGAGCAGTTCGCCCATGTGAGGTTTGCGTTCTTTCCTCCAAGCCCACACGTTCGTGATATTAGCATCTCACATCTAGGACTGTCTGCCCAGGTATCCATCCTGTCTCGCAGCTCTGTTGTCTTCTCGGTTGCCCAGAGTGCAAGCTGTGTCTTATCTCTAATTTGTTAGGATAGGGAACCGACTATTGAGAGCTGCTCTTTTTATTGCGATTAACTCGCAGCTGGATCATCTTACCAACATCGCCCAGATGTAGCCACTGCCTCTCGTAAGGCATCGGTTCATCCGGTAGTCCTCACCTGGAGATTAATTCTCGGATATTCAAAACTAAGGGCTCTGCTGACTGCAAGCAAGCTCACTTGACGGACCAAAGAACATGCAGTAGCCAAGGGCATTGCTCCACTGGGGTACACAGTACGAGAACAAACTCCCACGAAACTCAGACTGAGCATGCCGCTGGGCAACCTGCCGTGTATGTCAGGATGTGGTAAATCACCTTGTCAATCAGACATGGCGCATCCCCAGGCACCAGACCAGAGTCTAGGCCCACTGTGACGACTATGATCGGTTAGCTCGAATTTGCGAGCTGGGGAAACAAGCATTTGAGGAATTCAAGTGGTTCGTGGGAGCGGAGCATGACACATGCCCCTGGCAACCAAGCCGAAGCTCGGATGGAGGCAGGCAAGGCAACTCCCATGTTTCCTTTCGAATTGCTAATTAACATAGCTTCTGTCAAGAAGAGTGATCCTACTTGGCAAACCGACAGCCGGTTTTTGGATATTACTAATTCGGCAGCTTCTTCCAGGCTCCCCTTCCAGGTCCCATGACGGGCAGCTCTTTTCGCTACGGTAATATACGAACTTGGAATATAACGCCCCTGCCGTGGGTATGAATCTTCGGATGTGACTCGGAAGAAGCTCTTGCCCACCTGCGACAAGCTGGCCATCACCTAACACACAGGCACAAGGAGGAAAGCTCTGGTAGTATACCGTACGTAATATTACTTCTCAATGGACGGCAAGACACATGTACAAGGGTGGGTGGTCATTGAGACATCCTTATTCGGCGTATGTTTCTCGGATTCGTCCAAACCAGAACAGGGCCCACAAACTTTTGCTGGCCGCCCTCCTTTCGCTAGGTAGGTAGGTCTTACACACTCATTCGGGCAGAAAGCTACAAGTCATCGAGGGGGGCATCGCCGGTGGCTGCGTCTAGCGGACGCCCGATGTCCAGCCACTGTCTTAGGATGGTCAGCTCGGTACAAAACAAGCAAAGCTGCCCCCGGATAAGACCTTGCCGAGCTCAATTTCAGCTGTCACACCTGTCGTATTTTGGAAATCAGCCCAGCGCCGGCCCTGCGGCTGGGGTCGTAGTCAGGCTGCAGGTAGATGGGACCTGCGTGGTCAAGGATAACCATCCCGGGGGTCTAGGAACCGCTCCGCGTTAATTGGTCAGGTTTCAACCACCGTCATTGTATCCTACCGTGCATATTCTAGCTTTGCACTCATTGGAGAAGGCTAATGTAGCTGAAAGTAAATAAAGACGGTGGCTTGTCCCCCCCCTCACCTCGTTCCCTCTGCTTTTACGTACCAACCTGCTCGACATTGCTTCTCTTGCCCAGATACCACATCACTTGCCCGAATTCAAGCTCCCTTGATACAAACAAACAACCATCAACATGAAGGCTTCCATCATCCTCCTTGCTGCCGCCGGCCTCGCCGCCGCCCAAACCAACATTCCCACCTGCGTTGTAAGTATCTAGATCAATTGCCACTCGGAGGCTTAGAAACTAACCATTGGCAACGCAGACCACATGCCTGCCCCAGGCCCTGACCGGCACCGACTGCCAGGGCATCGACATCACATGTATCTGCAAGAACCTCAACACCATCATGGCCAACGGAGCCGACTGCTTCTCCAAGAACTGTAGCGCCGACGAGCTCAAGTCCGCCCAGTCCCTCCTCACCACCCTCTGCCCCAACGCCTCCGTCTCCGGCAGCATCTCCGCCTCTGCTTCTGCCTCGGCCTCGGCCAGCTCCAGCTCTGCATCTGCATCTGCTTCTACATCTGCATCTGGCTCCGCCACCACCACGGGCTCTGCCTCTGGCTCCTCATCCGCGACCGCAACCGACTCCAGTGCCTCCACTACTGGAACCGCAGCCGCCTCGTCGGCTTCGTCGGCCTCGTCGAGCTCCAGCTCTTCCGCCTCCAGCTCTGCCAGCTCGGCCTCCAGCTCGGCTGCCAGTGCCTCCGCCTCCGCGACTGGCACTGGTGATGCCGGCCGACCTGTCGTCGGAGCCGGTCTCGCCATGTTCGCTGCCTTCCTTGCTCTGTAAGGGGTTGTCAATGAACGTATTGGAATGTTCCGTATAGGATTGGATTGACATCGGGACAGCCTTGGCTTTCGCTGGGGGTGAGCTCGACCCAATCGTCAATGGAACGCGCCATCCAACTCCGCAACTAAGAAACGCAAGTAAAGATAATGAAAAGTTTACGACAGGGCAAGTGGTAACGATATCAGCCCCATGTTGGTGTAATGTAGTCTAGGTTATATAATGGTCAACAATAATCACGATATGTTTGGCAATAAATGGTCACAATAATCCATATTCCGTATCCGTCTTCTCTACCTTTCTAATACAATCTAGCTCTCCAGCTTCCCTATCCACCTACCGCACTCATCCTATGCGGTGTGCCTAAAACAGACAGACTGCCGATATCTAGTCATCATTTAGCCATTTCCCACGCGACTTTGAACAATAGGAACAGTCAGTCGAATTGTCCAAGGTTTGTGCCCTACGTCTCTTAGGATGACGTCGATGTTTGTTCAGTGGCAGGGAGGTTTAGATCAACTATCCAAGGCGGATTGATGGGCCGGTACCGGATGCTCATAATGGCAGCGTTCACGAACAGCGTCGCCTCTCCCTGCTGAAGGTGAGTCTCTCCCTCTGTGAGGTCAACATGGACACCTCGACGCCGACTGATTTCTACAAGAGCTTTTCGCTTTTCCACATTTGCCCCAAAATCCTCAATTCTTGATATTCTGAACGGCAGCGAAAGGTCCTTGCGCTTTTTGATAAGGATAGAGTTTTCATCATCGATTATATGTTTCGGGATCGCGTAGGGCCCATCTTGCTCTTTCCACCTTGCCAAATATCCTCCCCATGCCTCATGAATATGTCCGAAGCAGTGGATCTGAGGTTTAGCCATGTAGATTGACCTTAGCAGATCAGGGCAGCCTGCGTTCGTCAAGTCGAACCCAGCGAGGTCCAGAACCTGGTATGGCGGTCCATGGGTCATCGCAACATCGACATCTGGTGGGATGTCAAAATTATGACCATTGTCGTATTGAAAACCCCAGCTCCCATACTGGGGTGTCCAAGGACTGGCGTAGACTCTAAGCCTGGCACCATTATCCAGATCAAATGTGTGAACACCCTCGTCCAAGTAGATAACACCATCTGCCCGCGCTTCCTCAATGATGCTCTTGGCCTCATCAGCCCAAGGCAACCGCTCGGGACGAAACAGCCGTTGCTTCTCCCAGAAAGTCCGATCCAAAGCCCTGTCGTGGTTCCCGGCAATTACAAGCTTTATGGGAGCCTGTAACTTCCGCAGCATGGAGAAGGTCTTTCGGTACTCCTCCGGCGCGCTCTTCATCGTGAGATCGCCACAATGCAGGACCACATCTGCCTTGGGTAACGGGTCGCGAAAGCCTGTTGGGACGCGATCCAGCTCGTCGCTTCCGAGCTCATCTTCAGTGTCCGGGCTACCATCGGCTCTAGTATACGGCACTTGGCCGTGGGTATCGGATATAATGAGAACTCGGGTCTTGATTTTGGCGTCGGCTGCCATCTTATCAAGGGTATGGTAAACGAACTCGAACGATTGACAAGAAACGGGAGATATTCAAGCCAGATGTCATAGGCTATGGTTCTTCCCTGCCTATGTTCTTTCCTTGATATTGATGACGATTAAGCAACTGGATGCTGGTTGGTGTGGGGTGTAGAGAATCAGTGAATCAATAACGCCAGTATTGGCACAGGTACCTAACAGCGCGCAGAATGAGGAACGATCTTTAATCGAAAAATGACAATCGACAAATAAAATTGTCATTGGACGAATAATAATTGAATGTTTCTAGGGAAAACGAGGATTAAAATATTCTTTGACAGTTGTTAGGCAGCTATCTGTTTGCCTACGGCTAGGTAACCAGCCACCGAGCCACAATAGCTCGTGGACCTACCTACCTACCTTGGGGAAGGAAACTTAGCCTGTCGCACTCGCCTTGACGAATGTTGCCTGGTTTTTTTAGAGTGCCCTAATCAAGAATGGACCGTTCCTTCCATAGTACCTTTTTTAGCAGAAAGGCTGGAAGCTTGCCGCGACGGAAGTGACATTGTTCCAGGGCTGTTCGAAGAAGTGCAGGTTCAGCAAGCACAGGGACCTCTAACGGGGTGACGCCAGTGCTGTTAGTGCCCATCTAACCCTCTAGCTCCACAACCATTCGAGGGAGGTCCATGCGACCAACGACTTCTCACCAGAGAGCCTGCAACTGCTCCTCGACCTGTTCTCACAGCAATCCACCAACCCGAATATCACAACACGAGCCAGCATCCACCTGCCAGCCAACAGCTATGGAGTCAACACCAGCTCAGGACACGCAAATCAACTCTCCTGTCCCTCCCGAGCCGCCCTCAGAGGAAGAAATCAGTGAACCTATGTACGGCGGTTTCTCGAGGTTCGAAATCGAGCTTGAGGTATGTTGCCAGCGCCTCCAGTTTCCGCGGCGCCATTTCCGACAGCTTGGCACTTGAGCCCTTTGTATGGCGTTCTCCTAACCCAATTGGCAGTTTGTGCAATCGCTCGCGAACCCTCTATATCTCAACCATCTCGCCTCCCAACAGCTCCTCACCCAGCCAGCTTTTGTCGCCTACCTCGCTTACCTCCGATACTGGTCGCGTCCGCCATATGTCAAGTATCTCATCTATCCAGGGCCAACACTTCGCCATCTCGAGCTCCTCCAACAGGAGGCCTTCCGAACAAACATCATCAGCCCAGACCTCACGGCCCAGCTTGCTGAGGCCGGGATGAAAGCCGCGGTTGACTGGCACCGCGAAACATGAGTGGGCGAGCACGATGAAGCAAGCTTTGAACTGTGGTTCGTAGCTTTCACCTTGTATCAACATACCGGAAACCCGCCTTCTACCTAATTATGGGAGACAAAGTCGTCATACATTGTTTTATTAAAAGCTCGAAGTCCAACATCGACAACGCCTCACCCAATTCTATCTGCAATAAACTCCCAAATGTGCCGCATAAATACGCCCAAACACCGAACTTCCCTCCTTCTGCGCCTGGAAAATCCCGTCTGATTGACTGTAGGGATATGATATCTTGAGACGGCCCCATCGCACCACCAAATCCACCCTTAGTTTTCTCGCCATCTGGTGCCGCAGGTCATACACTTGAAAAAGCTCGTCATCGGTTCATCGGCAGATCGAATCTGCACCTGGTAGAAGGCTGCCTCGTCGCCATTGCAGCTCTCACTGGAACATGCAACCTTGGCCTTCTGAGCGTTATCCCAGGCGCCAGGCCCGCCAAAGACGTCTTCCCGCTCCTTGCGCTCGTACGCGCGACGGGAGAAGACAGGGTCGGTGATGCTATGCTCGAACGGGCATGTTCGGCACTCGAGTCGGTTCGTGCCTTGGTTCGTGCGGGAGACGGTTAGGATGTTGGCGCAATGGGGGCAGACTGAAGGATACTGGTTAGCTTGGGTCAGAGTCATGGTTCGCGGGCTGACCTCACAGAGCAGCATGATGGGCCGTAGAGGGATGAGTCCGGCTTCTTCCTAGTATACTAGCGTGCTTGGATCAATCGAGTTGTACTGTGTTGGTTCGAATGTGGTTTGTTTCCTTGCCAAGTTCGCAGTGATGGGTAGATCTTCAACATCCGAGCTCGAGAGAGTGATGCAAAAAAAGAGCGGGCACCAAGACATTCAGACCCACATCCAAATGGCAGCCTTGGCAGCTTCAATTTAGGTAATCCACCACTGTCTAGCGCACGGCAGGCTGAACTTGTCTGGCCCCAGGGCAATGCGGGAGCCTCCAATTTCCCAATTGCGCAGCCAGCTCATGGAAAATACACGTACTGTTTCCTGTTTGGCTCAGGATGTCCCATTGGATACTTGTTACGAATCAGGAGGACCCAACTCAGGTAGCCTGACAGCGAACGTTTTACATGGCGGTGGATGCCCAGAGACCGCTACTCGCTAGGCAGGTCGTTGGGCCTGCAGGCGCCTTTACCCCTCCATCCACCCACAACCCCGCCTGATACTTGCGGCCCAGGCCATCCAGGCGCAGGCGAGCAGGTAATCACTAACAAGCTCCTACACTCGCTCTGGCACTGCCACAGCAACTGAAACCGCCAAAGGAGTCGCAAAGAGTTCGTGTACAACTTCACCTCCCCTATCCCGTCTTCCACAACGCATCCAGACTCTACGAACGAACCACCACAAGCGAGCCAGCATGGGTGGTGAGGAGCACGATGTAAGTTCACCCTAACGAACCTGTCCCCCAACAGCTACGACAGCGCCCGAGCACCAAACGGACTCGCAGACTTGCTCCCAAAACCGCCCAACCGCTGACACCCTTTTCCCACAGGGCGCCTCCGTCCAGGAGCAGCTCATCGCCGCGTGCCGCGGCAACAACACAGAGCTCCTCGAGGAGCTCCTCGAGGGCAGACCCGACGCCGAGATCACCCGCCTCCTCAACGAGACCACCACCGTCCTGGGCAACCACCTCTACCACGAGGCCGCGCTCCGCGGCAACTGTGCGTCGTCTTCTCCCTGAACAACAACCGCCACCACCTACCCTTCCCTATCCGCCAAATCCATTCTAAATTTTGCTGACCGGGCCTCTCCCCAGACGAAATCATAGACCTCCTCCTCGACCAGCCCGAGTTCGAATGCGACCCCGTCACCCGCGCCGACGGCGACACGCCCCTCCACTCCGCCATCCGCTGGATCAACTCGGAGCCCCCCGCCCAGCGCGAGTTCGGCAAGGCCCTCGTCGAGATGATGCTCGAGGCCGGCTCGAACCCCAGGGTCAAGAACAAGGGCGGGCTCACCGCCGTCCAGCTCGTCGACCCCACCAACAACGAGCTCAAGGACGTCATCCGCAAGCACGAGTTCGCCTCCCTCAACGCCGGCGACTACGTGAATGTGGAGGACGACAAGCCAAAGGGCAAGAAGGCGGCTGCTGCCCCCGTCCAGCCCGAAGAGAGTGACGACGATGCCGAGTTCAGTGGCAGTGATGAAGAAGAACGGATAGAATTCGAG